TTAGATAACAACTTTAACTTATACTATTATCTCCATTATAGTTACCCTCTGGTAAACTTTTTCATAACTATGGAAAGATCCACCATGTTTAATGGGAAACTTCACTATTTCTATTGCCATTTTCAATAGCTATTTTGACATAACCAGAGGGTAACCTTATCTAACCATCTATATCGATCTATGTGAAAAATGGTGATTTTCCATAGCTATGTTAAATTACCAGAGGGTAGATCAATAACTCATAATATACATGTTGTTGCTATCCCCATTATAGTTAAGTATATGGAGGTTTCCAACAAGTCATAGGGGTAACCCCCCATCGTTCTCATCCGAGGTTCGTCGCCTTCAGCGACGCCTTGTCGGTGGTGCAGGCGCCGGTCTACATCTTGGTGAACGATCAAGGTGGAGCGTGGAGATGGGGAGATGGGAGATGGGACACCTCCTGATTTAACTGATGTAACCAGCATTTTACTGGTGATTTATAGTACAAGGTGGTGCCCCTTAGATAGCTAAGTTGGTTAATAACTCCAATAACTATGGTTTATAGATGATATATCTACAGTTAATGGGATTATAAACCCACTTATAACTTGGGGGCACCACCTTGTAGGATTTCATGGTGATTTCATGGGATATGATTTGGATTTAGCCTGTGGTAATGACTAACATAACTATAGAAAGATCCACCATTTTATAGCTGGGTAAATCAACTATTTCCATGGTCATTTTCCATAGCGAACTGTAAACGTTTACCAGGCCGGGTAACTGATTTAACCAGCAAGACTGGTGAAAAAGTGGGATCATGGGAAATTATCTGGGAATATCATGGGAATTAAATGGTTTTATATGGGATTTTCTATGGGATAAAAACCAACAATGATGGTGATTTATAGGTGATTATCCCATGAAATAGTGGGATCATGGGAATATCATGGGAATTATCTGGGAATTATCATGGGATATAGTTAAATTAGGCCATACATGGGCATTTATTAGGGATATAATGGGAACATCATGGGAATGTATTTTTATAAATTATGTTAAATTGCCTATCAATTGCAGTAGATATCAACCATATAGTCATATAGTGTATATATATACATATTAATCGGAATTATATAAACCTCCTAGATGGTACCTGGTATATAAACTGTCATCAACCTTAAATGTTTTTTTGTTTTAAGGATATGAATGATATAGTTAAATGGGCTATACTTGTTTAACCATCAAGAAATGGTGATTTCATGGGATATAATGGGATTTACCCTCCAGTAAACTAACATTGCAATGAACAAGCACCATTTTCTAATAGGTAATCAACTATACATGGCAACTTTCTGTAGTTTTTTGTATGTTTACCAGAGGGTAACCGGGTAACCTCTACACGACTTATTGATTATCAGTCAATATAACTAATGTGGAACTTTAGGGTAAATCGCTCAAAAAAAATGTGAAAAAAACCATTGGGTAACACCCTCAGAACACATCATCTACATGCGCGGCGTCTGAAAGTAGCCATGAATTCTACTGGTTGGGGATGAAACCATGATTGATAGAAGTTAATGGATCATGATGCGGATTTGAAGCAACCAAATTACTGGGTTTTTTCATGCTTCAACCATCAAACATTGACTGGAAGGTGAAAATAATCATCACATATTTCAAATTTCTGAGAAAAGTCTCTCTCTGAGGTGTACCCTCTGGTAATTTAACGTAGCTATGGAAAATCACCATTTTTAATGGGACAATCCACTATAAATGGCCATTTTCAATAGCTATGTTAAATTACCAGAGGGTATCCTTCCAGTCAGCCGTGAAACGACCTCCATTCATCTTGGCTTCACCATCTGGCCTTGTGAGGTGAGCCGTTGCTACCCTATATCCCGGCGGACTCGTACTACTGTACTCGCTTGCCCTCCTGCACTTCCGATCCTTGGTGCGCTGCTACCATGGGAAAACCTGGAAACGATCTAGATTTGGGGGATGGTTTACAAGGTGGTGCCCCAGTTCGTTAGCTAAGTTGGTGCAAATAACTCCAATTTCACTATGGTTTTTGTTGGTGATATATCTATAGTTTTTATGGGGTTTATAAACCAACAAACATAACTGGAGGGGCACCACCTTGTATTATCGTTTTAACCACATAAAAAACCACAATGTTGCGATCTTGAAACGCTGGATTTTCCCTAGATCCATGTGAGTTTACCACCAAAGATGCCGAAAAGTCAGTGACTTCCGAATCGAACATAGTGATGATTTCCCAACCTTTTCTATCCTGCGGACTTCATCATTCCAAGATTTCTTCGATTCAACTATCGCTGGGATCTTGGTCATTAGTGTTGAGACCATTTTGAACATTGGGAGTTAGTAACATTGACCCCAGGAAATTGAGTTAGGAGCAGTTGTGGTTAAAATCTTTGGAAACACTTCGTCTTGAAGGAGAACAGGGATTTCAACCCAAATCAGACAATTTCCCAACATGGCTGATAGGGAATTCCGGGAAATCCTGATGGAAGCCTTGATCATACACTGGTTACCGGTTGGTGGTTTGGAACATGACTTTTACTTTTCCATGTATTGGAAATAGTCATCCCAACTGTTACTCACTCCATCATTTTTCAGAGGGGTTGTGGTCAACCACCAACCATATATATATATATACTAAGCATATATTAACCATTATTAACCCTTGTTTTACCACCAACCAGTGGTGGTTTAACCAACCACTATAGACCCACGAAAAAAACAACAGCGAATTGGAAGTCCCAAAAGGTCCTTTGAGTTCGATACGGTCATCAACCGTGGCACTTGGAGATCCCCCAGCTAGAGTTCTCGTGGATTGTTGCGATCCGAATCTCTAGTTCGAGGATTTTCCAAGTTTGATTGAGGGTAAATCTCATTCAATCTAATTAAATCAATATGAAATCTCATGAATCACATTAAATCCCTATTGTCTATTTGAATTTCCATGATGAACTTTTGAAATTTCGGCTCTGTTCACCCACCACCCCCCCCGGTTAGTCAAGGAACTGGAGGAAGCTGAACTGCTGTTTGGTGTGAAACTGAACTATCATCACAACACCTTTGCACCTTGTCGCAGCCAAGTGGGTAAAATGGTTATAGGGGGGGGTATAGCTAGTTATTTTTGACGGATTTTATGGTTGTTTTTGTTTAGCAAATAACAGATGGTGGTAAAAAGCAAGGTAAAACATGTTGTTGCTCCAGAAACGACAAGTGACTGGCCATTTTCAGATGTATGAGGAATAGCCTCCGGTAATCAAACATGGCATTTTTGCAAATCCCGGAGGTTGATAGCTGGAAACATGTTCTACAAATCGATGAGGGTATGCAGTGACCAGATGTTGGAGTTCCGATTGATGGTCACTTGAAGGATCATCTGCAACCGTGGCAACGGTGGCGCCGGCAAGTGTTTTGATGCTGAGTACTTGAACTATGGACAATCACATTGTCTTAAAAGGTAAAACATCAGTTTTTTATAATCTATGAAAACGTTTTTTTAATCTTTATCAATTTTCCATAGCTTTCTGATAAATAGCGAAGCAGAGGGCAAGTATACCTTGTGAATGGGGTGATTCGCCAATTGCTGGGATGATCCTCCGGCAATCTTAAACACTTCGCAACTGGCAAACAATCCCCGAAGAATCAATAAATGGAGGCTTTTTTTGCTGGGAAAATCCATGAGAATCGCCCAGTTTTGAATGTATCAAGAGGAGATGAGAAGAGAGATGGTATCCAGAGAGATTTTTTTCAGGATTTTTCCATTAATGGATGATAACCATCCCCATGAAATCCCATGAAATCACCATTTCTGGATGAAAAACATGGAGAATTCTCCGCTCTGGATCCCCTCATGGTGGTAAAAAACCATCAATGGTGGCTGTCATAGGATTTCATGGGGATTTACCGTGAACTGGAAGATATTTACATTTTTATAGCTAAATGGATGTGGGTCAAAATGGAAGACCATTAATGGGACCACAGATGTGAATGTCTAGTTTAGTATTAACCATCCATAATTTTGGGGTACCTAATTTTGACCCATACCCAAATCATCATGTCAATCATCATAAACTATAGGAATCATCGAACTAAATGGGGCTGTGGAAATAAGTTGCCAGAGGGTATGGCTGAAGGCCACGAGGGAGCTTCGGCGAGTGAAATCCAAATCCATATTTTTGATGCTTAGACCATCAGATCGTCTCTCCAGTTGGATAGAAAATCTTATTGACATCTTATCCAACTGGAAATCACCAAGAAATCACCAAGGAATCACATTTCACCATATTCATCCATATTCATCCTAATATTCTTATCTTATCACCATCGAAATCTGATCATTTCAACATGACTCTCCACCATTCTTGGACCATTCATTCGAACAGTTGGATCCTGATGAAATATGGTGATTTTTTCCCCAAAACTCGGTGAACTCAGGACACCACCCCTGTTCAGTTCCTATGTTCGTTCTTTATGGTATCCCAAACAAAAAACTGAAGTGGTACCAAGAATCCCATGATATTTTTGATGCTAAAATCCCAAGCATGGTCTGAAGACAGTTCCAAGCTCTCAAATGATGTTGATCTAAAGACCTTACTGGTTGGTGGTTTGGAACATGAGTGTTATTTTCCATTTCATATATGGGATGTCATCATCCCAACTGTTACTCACTCCATCATTTTTCAGAGGGGTTGTGGTCAACCACCAACCAGATTATTATTAACCATCATTAACCAGATAGTAACCATCATCATTAACCATATAGTAACCAGCATCATTAACCATATAGTAACCATCATCATTAACCATATAGTAACCATCATTATTAGCCATATATTCACCATAGATTAACCATTCATATATTAACCAGCCTTGTGGGTCCATCCGACCCACCTTATGTTCAACCGCTGAAACAGTCCGGGACTCCGTGGACTCCGTGGACTCCGTGGACAAAAAACGGCTCGGTCGTCCGCCGCGTCGTTTCACAGGACACGATCTTCGAGACCGCGCAGTTCTTGCGCTTCTGCAGCGCCTATCGCCTGGCCATCAGTGGCTCGGCGTCGTCGGAAGCATCAAACAAATCAGGATTGAATCAAGAGAAATGGTTTATGGCTGGGTAAACCATCTATAAATGGTTAATCTATGGTTAATCTATGGATAGTCTATGGTTAATCTATGGTTAATCTATGGTTAATCTATGGTTAATGGTTAATAGTTACCCGGCCTGGTAAACATACATATATAGCTATTGAAGCCATGGCCATAGAAATAGTTGATTTACCCACTAAAAAATGGTGATTTTCCATAGTTATGTGAGTTTACCAGAGGGTAAATGACATGGTGGGGAATATATATATACATACTGGTTGGTGGTTTGGAACATGACTTTTATGACTTTCCATATATTGGGAATGTCATCATCCCAACTGACTTTCATATTTTTTAGAGGGGTGGCTCAACCACCAACCAGTATATATATATATATATATCTCGGACTGTTGTGTGGCAACTGGGCACAGCAAAGCAGCAGTGCCGCAGCCGCCGCGGACAGGTCTATGCGATCGGTCTCGCCACATCAGCTGCCTTGCGCATTTGATGTGGGAAAAAATCACTACAGTTACGGCTCATGTCAGCCGCAACTGAAGGTGGGATTGAAATCACAACTCCGTCAACAGGAACAATGATGCCAGCGCACTGCCTGTTCAAACCAACACAAAGATAATCCGTCAATCCCAAGGCCTTGAGTCCACGTGTGAGACCCTGGCGCACCTTCTGTGCCACAAATGCCAACGTTGGCCGCAAAAATAAATCCTGGGCAGTTTTGCAAATCCATTGGCCATTTTTGGTTCTCTCAACTGGAAACTGTGCGTTGAGAATTTGTACAATCCAAAGAGCCAATTCTAAGAAACTGACTGCCACAAAATTATGTTGCATCGGCTCCTCAGCGATGCAAATTTGAATCAAACTAGAAACGAATTCAGCCGGTAGTGCTAGAGACTCACTGCGCAATCTAAGTTGATGTTGCCAGTCGACCGAGAGAGCATCACCCAGTGGAACGCCTGAGATCTTCTGAATCCAAATGTCGGATTCATCCGTCAAATCAATCACTTCCAGTGGTTCGGTCTTCTGTTCCGCGATTTTCAAGTAGAAATCGCGCAAGATATGCAATTTGGAATCCCATTCCTTGTAGTAATCAGCCGCATCCGCCAATAAGCGCTCAAAGTCAGAACCCCTGTGGCGGTTTGCCAGCACTGCTTGAACATCCGCTATGTTGTTCCAAGTTGCCAGAAACTCTTCATGGGAGGTTTCACAAAGAGAAATGTCAACATGTGAAGGGATCCAGCGAATGTCAATCTGATCAGCGTAAGTCTGCCTCAATGCAGCTGCAAGTCGTTGCCAAAGGTCTTGGTTATCTCCATCATCAAGCTGGGTGTCATTCTGCAGCAATTTCAAAGCTTTGCTGCAAGTGCTCGCTGAGTCCGTCCAGATCACAACTTCAGCCTCAAAAGTGATGGCCCACTCCACAGCCGAGATCAGCGCCCAGAGTTCAGCTCTTCCAATGGTTTGTAGCAAGCCAGGGACACAACCATGACTTATGTTATCCCCATTGGTGGCATTAACAACAGCCCAGGCAGACCTATTAAGGTTAGGAACTATCCCCGTGAAATGAGAACCATCCGTAAAAACATGGTTTGTGACTCCAGGCCTGGGAGCACAGTTGAACTCTCGGCTGGTGTCTGGCAAGTCCATGAAATAGCGCTTCAGAGGCAGCACAAAAGGTGATCTTGGCGCCAGTAAGTGCATCGAAGCGCACAAAGGCAGTTCATCGACCCATGACAAAAAATCAGCACATTCCTCTCGTTGGGCAGCAAACCTGGGGCAGCGAAACCAGTGTCGTTGGGTGTCAGGTAAAAGACACAGCTGACAAATGGGCTGCTTCGTTTTGTCGAATTTCGAATGGTGCCACGAGGAGATGAAAGCGCCAGACTGCAGTGCACGGGTTCGTGCCAAGTCAATTGCCGTTTGCTTGTCATGATCCAAGAGCGTAAGCGCTGGATCAATGCCCTTCAAACCTTCCATGGTCTTGTGGTTGACTTTGGTAACCACGTGTTGGAGCCATGCATCATGGAGTAACATGTCGATGGTCCCACGTGCAGTGGTGAAAAGGTCAAACTCAAAACCATCATGATCTTGCAAAATTGGTGGTTCACAAACTCTCCAACCAATGTTATTGAGTATGAGCATGATCTTTGAGAAAGGCCCATCTCGCAAAGTGCCGTCATAGCGGTCCATGTAGCCCCGCCAGTAAATCAGCAAATCAGGGCTTTTTGCGCAAAGTCTTCTGAAGTCCAAAATCGCTGTGCGCAGTTGATAAAACCCTGGGTCAGCAGTTGCCGGTGTGGCCAGTGAGAGCCGCAAAAACGGATTTGCTCCTGCCAATTGAAGGCCGAGATGTTTGATGGCCTGTGTGCGAAGTTTGTGCACATGGCTATCCGAGGACAGACAACTCAGAGTGCCATGCATCGCCTTTGCCCAAAAAACAATGGGGAGAACCCTCAATTTTTGTGACAGTGGCGCCTTTGAGCGTCTCAACTGTTGCCATCGCTCTAGCAGTGCTTCACCCCGCTTTGCATAGATACGCACTCGGTGCGCTGCTGTGAAAGAGAGTGCACCTCCAAGCTCGCCAAAGTCTTCCACTACCTGCACATTCAGTTGAGCCAATTGCTTGCGGCCTTCAGTTGTGGTGGCCCAGGCATAAGTCTTCTCTAAATCTAAGGTAAGGCCCCACATGGTGAGAAAAGCACGCAAGGTGAAAAAAGCCCAAGCCACCAAGTGTGCTTGACGAGCCAACATGGAGATGTTGTCAACAAACGAAAAATGGCGAACAGCTGGAGCAAAATGCATCTGGTATAATTGGTAACTCCAGTCAACCAATGCCATTGCCAACACGCTCAAAGGACAACCCTCAGCAAAACCTCTGGTGGAGAGATGGGCTTTGCTGACTTCATCGCATACCACAAACCGTCTGGTAAACTTCTGGACAAAACTTCGCCATGGATGCAGCAAGGTGTTTGGAATCCCTACCGCTTCCGCAAGAAACCAGAGTGGCTTACGACTGATGCAGTTGAAAGCCTTGACAAAGTCAGTGCCAATGCCAGCCAATTGCTGTTTGGATTGGATGGCTGTCTCAACTGCAGCTTGAATATGAAGCCAGGTTTGCCCCGGTTCACGTGAAGGCAGGAAACCATGCGCATCACTGTGGATGTACATCTCCAGTTGTGCCAGCATCTGCCGTGCTCTAAGAGAAGCCCAGCATCTGTAGATGATGGAGAGTAAGACGATAGGTCTATATTCATTGGGGCGATGTGCATCATCGCACTTGGCAATGGCAATGACCAATCCTTCCAAAAGTTGCTTCGGCCACTCAGTCTGGTTGTCTTCAATTGCAGACAAAAGCGCAATCAGCTGTCTAGTGTGGAAGGGTGACATGTTGAGCAAGTCTGAACGTGCCCACCCATCCGCACCACGCGCAGCTGCAGGTCTGAAACGTTGCAGTGCCTTCTTCCACATTTCGACCGTCAAAGGAGGAACAACCAAAGGCAACTTGGGCATGAACGCTTGGACAAAGTTGGCCATGCGTTGCCATGTATCTTCACTTTGCAAATTTTCACAAGTCCACCGTGGTTTCCAAAAGTGCTCTAAACATTGGTGAACTTGTGGAGTGGTGGCTGTGTGATGATGAAATTCCAAATTATCACCAACTGAGATGTCCGGCATGTGGGTCAGAATCAGCAATTCTTCAACTGATCCTTGCACTGCAAGAGGTTGGCCTTGAAAAAACCATTGGCCCTCATGTTGGGTAGGCACTGGTTGGTGTAGCAAAATGCCATTGGTGCTAACTTTGATGGCCACAACATCAAACGTTTGAGTGTCCCAAAATGAATCCACCTGATCAGGACGGGCTTTTCGTAGATCCTGAAAAAGGCCTTTCATCGTCTTGTCATACTTGGCCTGAAGGATCTTCTGTCGCTGTTGCAGGTGCCATCTTTCAAATTCACGAAACGCATGGTGAAAAGCCTGGTAGATGAGCACCGCAAGAGCAGCAGTCGGAGGAGTGATGGGAAGAGGTCCCAAGGCAAGAGCAAAATCTTGCTTCATCCACCATTCCTCAAAAGTGGGATCAAAACCTTTTGCCCGTCTGATAGATGACCAGAGCTCAATTCTGTATTGCACAGCGGCTTCATGTTGTTGCCCTGCGCAAGCTGCATGTCGGAAACTCTGCAGCCTTCTAAGTTGTTTGAACCAAACTAAAACCGCCTTGCCAACTGTGTCAGCAACCAAATGAGCTTCGCCCGGTCTGCTAGCCCTGCAGGTAGGGGCGGAAGGCATCACATGGGCAGGTTGAAGTCTTTGAGCACGCCCACAGTGCGCAGAAGACAGTGATGCTGACTGGAACTCAGTGACAAAGCCGGCCAACGAACGTTCAAAAGATTTGCCGAGCTCTTTCATCATGTCTGTGGAATCATCTGGTGTAGGGAGTTCAATAGTTTCACAGTGTTGGTGCCATTCATCAAGCTTGACTTGGGGCCATGGCACTTCACTGGGTCTGGGCCAAGTGTGGATTGATGGACGCAAAATTTCTATGTTCAGTTGCACTGACACAGAAGCATGGTCGTGAAAAACCTCTTGGATGTTCACCGCCTGGCATAGGGAACTAGCCATTGGAGAGAGCCACAGCATGTCTCGCTCTGTGGCACCTTTACAGGTTGGGGTGATGGCTTGATGCCATCTCTGGTGTGCTAACTCCTGTGCAGAGTTATACCCATAGGCTCTCCAGGCTGAAAAACATGGGAGATCTTGGGGACCATGGTTGAAGTCGCCATTGATAATGACTATCCCCTGGTATCCTATCACAAACTCCTTGGTGACAAACTGCAGGATTTCATTCGTGAGAGCTGCAGCTTTGGGCCAAGTTGGGCCTTTGGGCAGGCCGTAGATGGTGATCACTGTAGCCACATGATGGCCAACAAAATGCTGTGTCGCCAGAACTCGTCCTGAGGTCCAAAACTCGTCTGGCCATGGAACTTGAAGACGTTTGGACGGGAAATCACTGGTGCAAGCCACACCTGTCCACGAGCCGGCCCATGTGGACCGTGATCTGAGCGCAGCAGGTGCTCCATAGTGTACTCTGAGATGTCTGCCAGCTTGACTAGCGTGGAACTTCAAAGCTTTTGCAGCAGAAACCTGAGTGACTTTGGAAAGCTGAGTTTCAGCATAGCTCCAAATTCCACATCCTTGTTCAACTGCTAGAGGCTCTTTGTTGCGCATACCCCCAGGATTGGTGGTGCCAATGGTGAGGAACTCCATTGGTCCTGGATGATGTGCTTCCCCAATACGCTGGCCAGTCAGTCCAAAAAGTTGCTCTTGACGAACTTGCACACCATAGGGGATGTTCACGTTCACTGCCACATACGGAACATCAATGGTGCTAGAGAACTCATTCGCAAAAGCAATTGGCAAAAGCCCCAAAAAGAGAAGAAAACGGCCGATGCCGCTGAAGAGTTTCAGACCAGGAGTCAATGAGCTGTAGCTTCTCCCAGGTCCAGTGGAAGAAGCTGCTCCCCCTAGTCATTCACTGCGTTGCTTCTTCGCAAACATCGCCTCAAGCTTGTCGAATCTGGCAGCAAAGTCTGATGACATCTCAGATTGATGGTTGGCCAATGTCTTCTGCAAGGTGGCTCCCATGGTGTCAGAAACATTCTTGATCTCATGGTGCAAGCCTTGAAGCTCTTGTTGATGAGTGCTCAAGGTGTAGTTGATCGTCTGGATGGCATTCTCCGTAGCAGAAGATGCTTGGCCAACTTGAGTAAACCATTGGTTGAATTGGCTCTGCTGTGCTTGGATTTCCCCCATGGTGGTCTCCAATCGTCGAAAGCGATCTTCTGTCGCAGGTGCTGCAGTGTCTTGCATTGTGGCATCCTGGTTCTGCTTGAACTCGTCAAGTTCCTTTCGAAAGGATGCCTGCAGCTCTTCTCGTAGTTGGCCTGTGACCTCAGCCAAATGACTCTTGCCTAAGGTAGATTTCGGCGGCGGCGCTTCAGTGGAGGTTGGCCGCCAGCTCATCCATGGATCCACATCTTGCCAAGGGTCAGCATTTGTGATAGTTTGTGATGATGTGCCAGCTTCAGCACGCAAGTGCTTCTGAGTTTTGGAAGAGGCCAAGAACGTGACCGGCTTCACCTCAACCGCTTTCTTGGTTGTTTCTGTGATCAGAACCTCCTTGCCAAAGCTGGTGAACACTGTAGTTGGCGGCGGGTCTGTAGATCCGACCTGCCATGAGATTCCATCTTGTTGTCCACGGCCAGGTTGCAGCGGTTTTGCTGTCCACTGCAGTTCATTCAGGATCTTGATCAGGCCTGCTCTTTGCAGCCCATGCGGCAGAGGGAACAGCTGAAAAGTACGTTGCACTCTGGTTGCAATAAATGTGGCATCTGGCTTCAGCTGCTTGAAGGCCATTTCTTCGTCAGCTGCCGCAACTCTGAGGCCGTATTTGAAGCGAAGACGCACAAGTCCAAGTGCTTTGAGGCAGGTCTTGCAAGCATGTTGGGCTTCAACAAGGGTGCGTGAAGTGAGCCACACAACCCGGAAGCGATCATCTGGTCCCCTGTCTTGTCGTGGATCCATGTAGATGCCCTGAACGTTGGATTGTAGCAATGGCCTCAATGAAGTTTCAGGGACCCGAAGAAAAACAGAGAAGTAGGTAGCTTCAGGAGCTCCAGTTCTGCCACCCTCTATCTTCCCAAAGGATCGGCCCCAAACTTCCATGATAACAGAGTCAAGTGTTTCTCCAACTGCCGGATGGGTCTTGCTGCAATCATGGCCACAACCATCTCCCGCACAGAGTTGAAGTGGTAGAAGAAGAGTGCTCAACAGGCGAACCGGAGATTTGACCAAGTCTTGCCATGGAGCTTGAAGTTCATCACGGTAAACATGGAGCCTGACCACAACATTTGGGATGATGTCAATCTGGGCCAATTCACCTGCTTGATGTCGGTTGACTTTCTTGTCGCCCAGATTTTTGAGGCAGCCAAAGATCAGAACGGGTTCGCCAGTGCCCTTGCAGGTGGCGGGAAAAGATGTCTTGGAGATGTCATACTTGAGCCTCAGTTCCGAGGGTAATTCCTCAGTGGTCAGGATAGCAAGGGCTTGCGAGCTGATGGAAGATGTCTGCTGAAGCCATTGTTGGCTTTGTTGAACTGTCGCAATGGCAATGCCCCCCGCTTCAGCTTCAATGTCCGCAAAGGAGATCTGGGACAGTGCAGTACCATCTTCATCCTTGAAATGCCCTGCTTGTAGTATGAGGTCAGCGGGATCAAGAGAAGGGATTGGTTCAGGTCCTTTCTCTGTCTTCTTCTTGTTCTTGTGATTTGAGATCCCAGCCCCATATTTTGAGATCGCAGTTCGCTCGGCATGTCGTGCCAATTCGTCAGGTAGTACAAGACGAAGAGCGACCCCAGGCTTGTTGGCTGATGCTTTGAGATGAGACCAGCTATTCTTTGCCACAAAGGCAGCCACAATGGCTGGGACCCCCAGCTTCTGAATGACTTGTTGATTTCGTCCTGGTACTTGGGACTCAGGAACTCCGTGTTCTTGGAGAAGTCGGCAGAGCTTCTCCTTCTGATCCGTTGAAAGCTCATTGGGACCTGTGGCAAAGATGCTGCCCTGCAATGGGAGCTGTTGCAGAATCCAGTCGTGGAGACAGGTAATCGCAGTTGCAGGAACCATAAATCCAGGGTTCAGCAACATGAAAAGATGTGCCAGGGCAACAGTGCCACATGTGTGCTTTTCCAACTGCCGTGTCCAGCAGGCTGAGAGAGGAGGGCAAAAGTCCAAACCCAGGATGGTTGAGAGATTGGCCATCAAGTCCAAGGCCTTGGTGTGTAGGTTGGTCTGGATGCCATCCAGCAAAATCCATTGGAGACATTGCCTGTGTTCTCGGCCATAGAGCAAAATCCAGTGGCCATCAATCTCGGCGATGCAGATAATCTCCTTGTTGGTCTTTTGGAATTGAAGCTGCAATTGCTGGACATGGATCGGAGAGATCCAATGATGCTTGAGTGCCGGAACCAGCGCAGGATGGATGATCATCATTGGACAGCAGTGTCCAAATACAGCCTGAGTGAGTTGGCAAATTCCAGCCCAGATTTGGCCATCGTGTAAACCTCGTTGTGGGTCAAGAGAAGGACCATGGGCCAGGCGGAAGTAGCCAGATGGTTGGTGCCATGGTGCTTCCGTCAAAGTCTTGACAGCAATCGGGTGCCAAATCCTCAAGTCAACCGGCAGGATCTTGTCATGGACGTCCAACACCTTTCTAACCAATGGCAGTCCAATTTCAGCCAAGATCTCGAAGAGAAAGCTGCCTGGTGAAACCAGGTGAACTTGATGGTGATCTTGATGTTGGATGGCAATGACAATGGCCTGGGTAGGTTGCTTTCTGTCATCCTGGCCGGCCTGAAGGCGAAGCTGGATGGAGGTCTCAGTTGCTGCAGTCAAGAAGGCGTCAAGTCCAAGCCGTTTCTCCTGGTGAAAGAGTGAGATACTTTCATTCCAGTTCAAGGAGATGCGTTCCGCTTGCAGCAGTTGTGCAACTGAAACTCTGGGCTGGTTGATGCTGAGTGACATTGATGACCCAAGCAGGGAAAAGTCCAAAGTCCATGGAGTGGGAACTGGTGAAAATCCAAGAGATGCCTGAGTCATCAATTCTCCCATGTAGGCACGTAGCCAGTCTTCGACTCTGGGACAGGGGAGCTTCTGAAAGGTGATGCGATGGTTGCGCAGGAGATGTCCGTAAATCCAGATGACTTGTAGTGGTGAAGCTACTAGTCCCAACATGGCAAGGGAAGTTCTGACTTCATGGACAAACTCATAACTGCCCAGTACGCCCAGCAAAAGTGCGGCTTCTTTGGGGTGCAAAAATCGTGGTGCCCCCGTCTCCTTCGAGATGACATATTGTCCACGAAGTCCCCCAGTTCGGAGAGTCAGGAGATGAAATCCACGATGCCGGCATCCGCAGGGACAAGGGCCCAGTGCATTCGCATACGAATGCAGGATGGTGGCTGCCGTGCAATGCAGCGCCAGCTCTCGACGGTCGTGACCGAAACTGACATCATGGTAGAGTTCCATTTCCCAAGGTGTCAATCGAAGATCCATTTCGTCATCAAATGGCCACTGACCCCAGGTTGACAGGATTGTCTGAATGCTATCAAATGGTGAATGCAAATCCCAAGGCGGTAGCCCAATTTGATTCCACTGACTGGGAAACAAAAGCGCCCACCAACGTTGCCGTTTGCAAGGCCAAACATCCAACAAATCAATGACAACCGTCTTGACGACCCAACCCATTGCTGCAGCTAAGGAAGCTAGGCTGTTCTGGATCTCGATGTTGTCCCCGGCCAAGGGCGTGCACTCCAAAATGAGGGATTGTGTTTGGAGCATGAAGGCGATGTGCAAGCCATGCCATAGCACTTCAGCACGTGAGTCACCACAGCCCAACTGCTGGCCTTGTTGAGAATGTGGTTGGCAGGGGAAGCCCATGAAGATGGTTCCTGGTCTGCCCTCACAAGCGGCATGAATCTGCCGAGCTGCATCACTGCTAGTCAGGTCAAGTTGAAGGGTGGTGCCAGGGTGGTTGGCAGACAACAAATCAACAGCTTTGGGATTCCAATCAACAGCCAAGATGGGGTCGGCCCCTAGATACTTAGCTCCCATGCTCATCGCGCCAGTGCCAGCGCACAGTTCGACAATTTTGGGTGACAAGGAGTTTCCCAAATCGGGATTGAATTTCCACCAAGCTGCCTCATCCAAAAGGAGACACAAAATGTCCCCACATTCCATGACCTTCGCATCATACACACTGATGCACCCCAATGCAAGATCAGCCCCAGCGAGAAGCGCCGAAGTGCAGTTGGGATGTCTGGTACATGAAAAAAGCGTCTCATCAATCTTGCGAATCACTTGGAAAACCCCAGAGATACGAGCATCGATGGAGGGATTTGGGCACCCGAACAAAGGAAGATCCATTGCGAGTCTACAGTATCCCAACCTTCAGTGCTAACGGGCAAACCTCTGGTAGGCAATTGGGCCAGTGCCTAACCAGTATATATATATAATATAAGATATACATATGGACACTAATGGGATATGGATAATATATATATATATACACAGATAATGGGGATTTCAATGGGACACTAATGGGATGTGTTCGTGGGATATGTGTGGGATATGATGGATGTAAACTATGATGAACCAATAGGGATTTCATAGGATAAGAGCGGATTTTTTGTGGTTAAAAAAAGATTAAATATACTGTATATATAGAGTAGATTTGCAGGAAGAGATATAACGAATATGAAGGATATGGATATACAGATATATATATATATTTTTCAAGATTGTTGTTTTACCACCAACCAGGTTATTATTAACCATCATTAACCATGAAATTGATATATGTACAATATAGATGTATATAACGATAAATTGATGGAATCGATGGTCAAATCAGTGACGATCAAAAAGCCGCAAATATGTACGGTGTCAATCAATTACCCTCTGGTAAACTAACAGTTCGCTATTGAAAATGGCCATTGAAATAGTGGATTTACCCATGAAAAATTGTGGATCTTTCCATAGTTACGTAAACGTTTACCAGAGGGTAAATCTTGATTTTTACCATCACTAATTTCGGATTAAACAACCAGCAATCAGTGGGGATAGAAGCATCAACGGGAGATAGAACCACTAAGGATATGATAAGCCAAAACCATAAACTCCATTTTGGGGATATGGTTTGTAGTACCCCTAAATGGATCAAAATGGTAAAATAGGGAAGATTCACAACTGTTGCATTTGGTTTTCCATTGCCGTTGCGTTTTTTCCTTTTTGATAAAGCTTCAGCAGTACGCAGCTTTAGTTTGGCGTTGTTGTTACGGTTACATACATAGGTACATAGATACATAGATACATAGATACATAGATACATAGATACATATAGATACATATAGATACATATAGATACATAGATACATAGATACATAGATACATATAGATACATATAGATACATATAGATACATAGATACTTAGATACATAGATACATAGATAGATAGATAGATTAGATTAGATTAGATTAGAATAGACAGATAAAGAGATAGATAGATAGATAGATAGATAGATACATAGATAGATAGATAGATAGGTCGATAGATAGATAGATACATACATACATACATACAGACAGACAGACATACATACACACACACAGACATACACACACATACATACATACATACGTACGTACATACATACATACATACATACATACACACATACATACATACATACATACATACAGACAACCATACATGCATGCATGCATGCATGCATACACACAGACAGACAGACAGACAGACAGACAGACATACACACACACAGACATACACACACATACATACATACATACGTACGTACATACATACATACATACACACACATACATACATACATACATACATACATACAGACAACCATACATGCATGCATGCATGCATGCATGCATGCATACATACACACAGACAGACAGACAGACAGACAGACAGACAGACAGACATACATACATACATACATTTATTATATGTTCCCTCCAAACCCTGGGTTCGCCCACACTCAAACAACACATCCAAACAATATGATATATACTAAGTTACTTATCACCAGAGAATGCATGAAAACACTGGCTATATGCAATGATCTTGATTTTAAGTTTTCAGGATTTAGGGTTTTAGGTTTTTAGGTTTCTAGGGTTTTAGGGTTTGTTGTTTTGGAAAGTAAAAATCTCAAAGCCTACGCAGTGATTTGAGCACGTCAAAGGAAAAAAACGGGATTCGCCGCGGGCAAACCTAGGCTTTGCAGTGTATATATATATAGATACACATATGCATACATATCATAGAAACATACATACAAACATACATATGAAGTGTATATATATAATATAATATACATATCATATGTTGAATCCATGACTTCATCACCATCCTTCCATCCCAAGACCGAGCAGGTGACCTTCAGAGTTACGATGACTGTGGCATCGTGAACGGCATCACGGCGGATAGCTTCATCGTGCCTTGGGTGTGTTTTTTTTTCGGCGTTTTTCGATGGGAAAAACCTGGGATTTACCATTGGAAAATGGTGATTTACCATGGGAAAATGGTGATTTACCATAGGAAAATGGTGATTTAATGCTGCTTTAATGGGATTTAATGGTGATTTAATAGTGGTTAATAGTGATGGCTAAAAGTGATTAACAGGGTATAAACCAACAACAATACAGGATGGGGCCCCCAGTCGATACTGTTGCCTGAAAAAAGTGGTTGAATTCAATGGTTTATGGGGTGAAACTAAACCAACAAACATCACTGGGGGGCACCATCCTGTATGGCTGTGTCTGAAAATGGGGTATACCCTCCAAATCACCATTTTAATGGGGTGATTTTAGTCCATTGGAGGGTTTTCCCTAAATTTTCAGACAAACCCGCATGGCGAAAAACCACACGGCGAAAAACCATAGGCAAAAACCAATGTTTACCATGTCGAACATGTGGATTTTATGCATGGGGATTTGAACATGGGCTGTTTGACTATGTTTTACCATTGAAATGGCGATTTTTACCTATGGAAACAAAAATGAGGTGGGATATTTAACCATTGAAATGGGATAATTTGCCATGTTTTACCATTGACATCTTTTTTTGCAATGAAAATAATGGAAATTTTACCAGTAAAAGTGGGATTCGATAGGGATTGAGTCATTCGATAATTCTCCAATCATTCCGTTGGAAACCATCCCCACATAGAAAGTCTTCTCCATTGGTATTTTTGAACAAAATGGTATACCCTCTGGTGAACTAACATAGCAATGGAAAATGGCTATTTATAGTGGATTTTCCCATTAAGAATGGTGATTTTCCATTGCTATGTTAGTTCACCAGAGGGTATCGGTATCTTACTCTTGTTCGCACATCTTCGACTAGACAACTTTCTATGAAAAAAGGTTTCAATAATTCGAAATCATCTGGTAAATCCCGACTGATAGGTGGTTTGGAACATGACTTTTATTTTTCCATTTCATATATGGGATGTCATCCTTCCCATTGACTTTCATATTTTTCAGAGGGGTAGGTATACCACCAACCAGCCAACAATTGGAGCTTGAAAAATACCGTCTGGTAAACTAACATAACTATGGAAAATGGCCCATTGAAATAGTTGATTTTCCCATAAAACATGGTGATTTCCATAGTTATTTGTATGTTTACCAGAGGGTAATCCATAGAGATTTGATGAAATCATCGGCGCCTGAGGCGTGGCTCATTTCGATGAGCAGCAGCGAGGCCTTCAACTACGCACGGGGGCCTGGCTTTTCTTCGGAGATGGGGTGAAATTCATCGTGGCCGAAAATGGGAATAGAATGGGAATATAGTGGGAACACCAAGCATGATGGCTATAACATGCTATAACTATGGGAATTACCATCTGTATCCATAAATTGGGATATGGGGCTCCTATATGTAACTACAAGATACAAAACAAGTCTATGGATACTATCCAAACAATGCAGATATTTATTACAGCGCCATCAGTTGGGATACTATGGTTATATAGAGACCATCAAAACTTATGGAGGTACCCTCTGGTTATTTAACATAGCCATGGAAACCATGGCCCATAGAAATAGATGATTTTCCCAGCTATAAAACTCCATTTATTTTGGTGATTTTCCAGTTCGCTATGTTAGTCATAACCAGATGGTATAGCCTATAGTTTTCCATTGTGAAGTTGGGATATTAGGGGCCCCGTTAATAACTATAACTATGGTATGCTATGGTTACACTTTTTACCCAGTTATTGGTGGAACTGCACCACCGCAAGTAGTCAAGCAAGATCCAGTGGTAACAGGGGAAGAATGTACCTGCGACAGTTGAAATCGTGTTTTTTTTTCGCAAAAAAAGTGTGTTACATGACTGCTACCCTCGGGTTCGTTGGTCTTGTGGACAATTCCTCTTTTGGCACGACACGTTCGGTCCTTTTTTGATGGTGGAATTGTGACCTGCAAGGAGGCCCCGTTGAAGTTTAAACATCGTTCGCCAAACAGAGGGGTGAAGTATCAAACATATTCAAAAACATAGCTTTTGAATTTTTGAATCATCTTGTTTAAACATCTAAAACAAATCATTTACAGTGAAACCATCTATTTTCCATGGTTCCCATGGGGAAAAACTCCCATCGCCAGGTGCCGAAGAACAAGCAGCGCTATGGGCAGCGCGGCTGGGAGCGCTTGAGCCATGCGCATCCCATCGATACGCGCAGCTGTTCGGTCTACAAGGAGGTGGGAGAAATATCCGAAATCGATGGGGACGATGGGAGAAGGATGATACTGGACATATTCATCCATATTCTGTCCCATATTCATCCATAAATCATGGGACGTTTTTTTTTGGGGAATATGGGAATAAATGTGATTTTCATGTGGGGGAGAAGGATGATACTGGAATACCCGGCCTGGTTTTCACGTTTACAGAAAACGAACTGGAAAGATCCACCATTTTTGGTGGGTAAATCAACTATAAATGTGATTAATGTGGGAGAAGGACGATACTGTGGATGGTTGCGAAATCCCGCACCAGTTGAAAAATGATCCTTATCGCCTGAAAATTAAGATGGATTCAACAAAATCTGTCCAAGGTCGGAATGTTGTCTTCCACCCTCGTGCTTATTGGGCCTTTTCATGCTGTTCTGACTGTCACACTTGCATTTCTGCTGCTTCACTTCCGCTTTCTTCATGGTTAGTTCATGTTAGTTCCATTCTCTTTTTCCTGGTAAATTCTCTATGTTCTAAAACTCGCATGTTTGCCCTGAAAATCACCATCTGTTCTTCTTCTGGAAGCGTTTGTGCTTAAACTTGTTTAGGGTGACGCAATATTGTGAAGCTGTACTTTGGTGCACGTCACGCTAATGGAAAGACGAAGGCAGCGCCACCGGCTACTGTACATTTGCACAATGCTTGTAGCTTGGAAGATGTGGAACGCACATCATTCTGGTTGGACTCACATCCTGCAAAATAGTGAATCGATGATCAAAGTTCAGGGGTTTGCCATCCCAAACTCTGACCGGATTGGAAGCAAAGCCTTCCAGCATCGCAATTCGTTGCGGACTTTATCGATTCCAAATTCTGTAACAGAAATTGAGGAGGAGGCTTTTGATGGAAGCAGTTGGCTGGAGAGTGTCACAATTCCCAACTCTGTCACAAGAATTGGGAACTCGGCTTTTCGTGGATGCAGTTCGTTGAAGAGCTTGACAATTCCAAACTCTGTGACTTTCATTGGGGCCAGCGCTTTTGAGGGATGCAGTTCGTTGAAGAGTTTGACGATTCCAAACTCTGTGACTTCAATTGGGGAGTCGGCTTTTCGTGGATGCAGTTCGTTGGAGAGCCTGCAGTTTCCAAACTCTGTAGCTTTCATTCCGGCCATGGCTTTTGACAGATGCAGTTCGTTGCAGAATGTGACAATTCCCAACTCTGTGACTTTCATTGGGGCCATGGCTTTTGAGGGATGCACTTCGTTGAAGAGCTTGACGATTCCAAACTCTGTAGCTTTCATTGGGCCATGGCTTTTTACGGATGCGTTCGTTGCAGCAGAGGTGACAATTCCAACTCTGTGACTTTCATTGGGAAATGGCTTTTGAGGGATGCACTAGTTGAGAGATTGACGATTCCAAACCTGTGACAAGAATTGGGAACTGGGCTTTTGAGGGTGCAGTTCGTGAAGAGTGACGATTCACCCTGTGACTTCATTGGGGAGTCGGTTTTTCGTGGATGCAGTTCGTTGGGGGGCCTGCAGATTCCAAACTCTGTAGCTTTCATTCCGGGCCATGCTTTTGACGGATGCAGTTCGTTGCAGATGGTCACAATTCCCAACTCTGTAACTTTAATTGGGTGGCGTGCTTTCCGTGAATGCAGTTCATTGAGGAGCCTGACGATTCCAAACTCTGTGACGGAAATTGGGGCCATGGCTTTTGACGGATGCCGTTCGTTGCAGAGAGTCATTGCAACTCCCAACTCTGTGACTTCAATTGGGGACTCGGCTTTTCGTGGATGCACTTCGTTAAAGTTCTTGACGATTCCAAACTCTGTGACGGAAATTGGGCCCCAGGCTTTTGACGGATGCAGTTCGTTGCAGAAAGTCACAATTCCCAACTCTGTGACTTCAATTCGGTTGCGTGCTTTTCGTGCATGCAGTTCATTGAAGAGCCTGACGATTCCAAACTCTGTGACGGAAATTCGGCGCCAGGCTTTTGTCGGATGCAGTTCGTTGCAGATGGTCGCAATTCCCAACTCTGTGACTTCAATTGGGGAGTCGGCTTTTCGTGGATGCGCTTCGTTGAAGAGCTTGACGATTCCAAACTCTGTGACGGAAATTGGGCCCCGGGCTTTTGACAGATGCCGTTCGTTGCAGAAAGTCACAATTCCCAACTCTGTGACTTCAATTGGGGTCTCGGCTTTTCGTGGATGCACTTCGTTAAAGAGCTTGACGATTCCAAACTCTGTGACAAGAATTGGGTCCCGGGCTTTTGACGGATGCAGTTCGTTGCAGATGGTCACAATTCCCAATTCTGTGACTTTTATTGGGGCCATGGCTTTTGAGGGATGCACTTCGTTGAAGAGCTTGACGATTCCAAACTCTGTGAGAAGAATTGGGTCCCGGGCTTTTAAGGGTTGTCCGCTGGAGTCATTGGTGCTTGTGGTAAACATCCCACTATTTATAGGGTTTCAACCATCCTTTTGGTGTTGCAGGATTTCTTCCATCCACAGTATCGTGGAATAAATGTGATGAATGTGGGTAAGGAAGATAAATGTGAGAATATCACTGATAAATCAGAGGGGAATATCACATTTATTCCGTGACAATGGGAGAAGGAAGATATCATGGAATACATATATTTTTCTGGTTGGTGGTTTGGAACATGAATTTTATTTTCCATTATATAATATTAGGAATAATAATCCCATTGACGAACTCATATTTTTCAAAATGGTTATTGCACCACCAACCAGAATGTGATTTTTGATGTGGATAAAACAATGCCATACCCTCTGGTTATTTGTTACGCAGCCATGGAAAATCACCATTTTTAATAGGTAAATCATCATAAACCATCTATTTCTATGGGTCATTTTCCATGGCGAACTGTTAGTCATAACCAGAGGGTACCTCCATAAATAGGATCACATGGAAAGATCCACCATCTTTGGTGGGTAAATCAACTATTTCAATGGGCCATGTTCAATAGCTATGTTTGTTTACCAGAGGGTAAATGTGATAGTGTGGGTAAAACTGGCTGCCATGAATCCATGGGGATTGAATATATGGGGATTAATCCTTCAATGAGAAATCTCGGGATTGAATGGATATTTTAGGTGGTTAAAACTGGCTGCCATAAACCCACCATCCCCCAGAAAGTCAGAAAACCATGAATTGACAGGTGGGATTTCAACTTACCATTCCCAGTCATGGCTGGTTTATGATTGTTTTACTCACAAAAAATGGGATAATGCATGATAATACCATACTATGGGTCACCATATTTTGAATATTGATGAATCAATGGAGAAATCCTGACTTCATGGGATAGAAATGGTTTTTTTTTGTGGTGGGGGACTTGAGAAATCGTTGATTCTTGAGTATTGAATATGGGATAATTGGAGAAGGAAGATATCATTGTCCACATTATCATCCTCCTCATCATCAACATTGTCATACAAAAAATCCTCCCACTCCCCACTGGCACTGGGGTCTCTTGCCGGGAGAATTTTAAAGACATGCAACGTGCTTACTGCATACCCTCTGGTTATGACTAACAGTTTGCCATGGTATCGATGGCCCATAGAAATAGCGGGTTTATAGATGATTTACCTATTAAAAATGGTGATTTTCCATCATTTATAGATGGTTTACCTATAAAAAATGGTGATTTTCCATCATTTATAGATGGTTTACCTATTAAAAATGGTGATTTTCCATCATTTATAGATGGTTTACCTAT